TACATGTTTATCTACTCGGCTATAATGATTTTGTTACATGTACGATATATTTTATGTATTTTATGTATATCATTCTCCATGTAAATATTGTAAATGTAAAACATGCATATAGAATGATTTTGGTACATGTTACTGTACGATTTAAATAAAAATAGGAAAAAAATATATTTTGTTACATAAGTATAAATAAAAATGAATTGAAAAATATGCGACCTTATTTCATAATTCCTTATTGTCTATTGGGCATATATTTAAATTTTAAATTTAATATTTTATAAAATCGAACTTTATATTTTATATTTCGACAATATAAGAAAGTCTCATCAGAAAATTTAATATTTTATATTTTATAAAATTGAACTTTATATTTTATATGTATTTGTAGTATTAGTACAAAATACTATTATCTTCAACTTCAAAATAAAATTAATGATCGAATCTGCATGCGTATTTCAGTTTCCCTTATATGCGCTAGCAATTGATGTTATTGTATTCGGAAATTGAATGAATATATTTCATACATCGTCGAATGTCAACTAAAATTAATGACCGAATCTGCATACATATTTCTAATATTGAATGAATATATTTCAGTCACGTAATTTTAGCAACTAAATCTCGGAATGTTTTTATTAGGTAAATGGTTTAATGGTTTCTTTCCATTTTAATGTCAATCAGCTATATATAATATTTTGAATTAAATGAGATAGCCATAAATTGGAATTTCCTTGATAGACAAGCTCAAATCGCAAATGTAAATGCTATTTAAACATTTTTTCTATTATGTCATTTATATGTTTTTTCTTCTATCAAAAACCAACACAGTATATTGAATACCAATATCAATTAGTTAGATCTTTATTCCTTTTCCAAACCAGTATACCTTATATTTATTGTAATTTATATTTATAAATAGATATAGTAAGAAAAATCAACCACCGATTTTTATCATTACTACTTTATTTAACTTATATTCATATAGCATATCATATTATTTAGTGCCTGCGATGACTATATGTCGTATATAAAGATAAAAAGGATTGTTCCTTATATATGATCAACTTTGGAAGTTGCTGATAGATTTTTTATCATATAATTGTTTTGTAAAATATGTTAGGAACACTAAGTGTATTTTTCAGAATTCCAATAATGTCGAATATGTCTTGCTTGGCTGAGTTGATTACATCTAAACCAAATTCTGCCATCAATGTTAAGATACTCACGAAGTAGACTACTTCGGCAATTAACTTATTTAATACCAAAGTTTTAAAAAAATAAGTAAAGTACAATATTAATGATTCTTGCTCTTACCTTCTTTTTGCTGCGGAAAATCTATATTTGTTTGAGAGATCCCATAGTGATTAGAAACGGCATGTTGCATTGGATAATATATTAGCATTTATAACTGATCACCTTAGTTAAGATTATATTAATTATGAAGTATTTTAATGAAGTCAATATATGATTGGTAGACAATTAACAGAAAACTATTAATACCATTCGATTATATATTCGAATTGCAGTAAATGATTATATAATAAAGGCCGTATAATTGCAGAATCTGTAAACTTAAAGATATATCAGATTTATATAGGAAGTCAAAAATCATTTTTGAACCAGATGATGTTCCAGAACTCCATGCATTGAGGAAGAAGTATATCATTTCGAAGAGTTTAAAATATTAAAAGAGTGTGTGTTGTTTGGTAAACTAACTAATTGTTATTTTTGTTTATAGGATTGTAAACCAAGAGTTTTGAAGACAATTTCAATTATTATATCATGTTTAATTTTCTATTTATTATTTTATTTTAATATACTTTTTCTCATTATATCATGTTTTGTTTCTCTATGTTTTATTATCATATTAATTATTTTAATTTATTTACTACTTTTTTTAGTAGACAATTTCTTAATTTTTTTGTGTCATCATGTATCTATAAGACAAACAGATATATAAGACAAACAGTGAAAACAAATTTGTATGAATCAATGCTTCGTTTCGCAGCTATACTAATATCTCATTATATGACTATATGATTTTTATTACTTATTCACATCCACTACCTATTTTTAGTTAAACAAATTAATATACCAAATTATTGTTCGATCAAAGTCAAAATAA